CAGGACAACTTGAAGTTCCTTTAAATACAGGTTCACTTGAAAGGACAACTTGAAGTTCTTTAAATACAGGTTCACTTGAAAGGACAACTTGAAGTTCCTTTAAATACAGGTTCAATTGACAGGACAACTTGAAGTTCTTTAAATACAGGTTCACTGGACACGACAACTTGAAGTTCCTTTAAATACAGGTTCACTTGACAGGACACCTTGAAGTTCCTTTAAATACAGGTTCACTTGACAGGACAACTTGAAGTTCCTTTAAATACAGGTTCACTTGACAAGACAACTTGAAGTTCTTTAAATACAGGTTCACTTGACAGGACAACTTTAAGTTCTTTAAATACAGGTTCACTTGAAAGGACAACTTGAAGTTCCTTTAAATACAGGTTCACTTGACAGGACAACTTGAAGTTCCTTTAAATACAGGTTCACTTGACAGGACAACTTTAAGTCCTTTAAATACAGGTTCACTTGACAGGACAACTTGAAGTTCTTGTAAATGTTCCCCACTGTTAACCTGAGTCAAAATTCATTAAACATTACATTATGATCAGATCAGGGAGTAAGGAATAGATGACGCGGTTCGTCCTATCATATGATTATACATGCTTTGCAGACGGGTACTCCATTTAAATAAGAAATATTTGTCTGATATACAATTACCGCGTATACAATAACCTATTCTGAGTATTTCTTATACAAGTGGAGTACCGTCTGCAAAGCATGTATAATCATATGGTAGGGCGAACTGCGTCAGTTAAATCTCCCTTCTATTCCTTACTCCCTGATTATGACCTTGTGACTTTGTAGCTCCTCTTGTTTAGATTTTAAGTATGAGAAAACCAAATTTGTCTGGTTTCATATTAAAAATTCAAAACATTGTTCTTCTCAATAGGTTTACAAAAAGAAGAGTTATTATTGAAGGCAATTAAGATTTTAAGTTTACATGTAATTTACTTTAATTTGGAGCCTTTATCAAAATCAAGTTCATCTTTGAATATATTATACTAGAAGGGTGAAGTGGTATATGTGGTTAGCTTGTATATTCTACTACATCTTATTATATTAATGGATTACTTTAATCCTTATTCAAAACCATGATTTCATCTCAAATCCACCAACAATCTTAATCTTAATCAAAACAGAACTGATAGGTTGTCTAATTTGATAACAGACACATGCAAATAGATTTTAGTACAGTAGATGGAAACGTAGAATTCGTACAGCTGTATTCTGACGTCACAAGTTTCAACCCAGTTTTTGTGTCCGACAAAATCGATAATAATAGTGATAATTTTAGAATAAAGTGCTTATCTTTCTATAAAATGAGTGCAATTTTATGTGTTCTTTATAACAACACAAATATTTGCAGTTTTCAGAAAAGTTTGAATTTTCCTATTCCTACAAGAATAAATTGTTTTTACTTGCTCAGGATAAAATTAAATTTTTCTTTTAAAAGAGATTTTAAACAATCTTATTACTTGTATCTGTCCAGACATTGCCCATGTGTTCAGTTCTTTCACAAGAATAATTTTCAATAAACATGATAATTTATCAAGATAAACCTACAAACATATTTTGGTGGATCATTTATCTATAAAATTAATAATATTTTAAAGAAAAAAACACTTTCAGGGTTACAAGCAATTTTATATGTTTATTTTTAGTAGATTAAAGTATAATTTTAGTTTATATTTATATTTATCCAAGGTTATAATGCAAGGAAAGTTATTTCAGAGGTGCACGCATCTTTTGTACTCCAGTGTACTGTCTCGGGGGAGAGGGGGGGGTGGAATCCATCTTTTCTTGTTTGCAAATTCTGCCCCAATATGTACGCAGAGTATAAGCAACTGCAATTACCTTTCCTTGCATTATAACCTTGTATTTATCTATGTATATCTGTCTCTCTGTACCATTGTATCTATGTACAGTAATATATAATAACTAGAAAACTCTAAAAAAGGAAGACGACTGCTAGAACCAAGTTTTAACTTTAAAAATTCCAATGAACATTGGACACAACAATTGTGCAGTGTAAACAGACCCGAATTCATGATTTCAAAAGTGCTACAATGTCTGAATGAGCGTTTTTTTAGAGACATCCTGTATTTTTCGAAATATTTCATCTCTAAAAAAGTGACTATTTAAAACTTCCATTGCAATAATTTCATTAAGGATATAGTATAAAAATCGGATGTTTATTGACCTTTTTTATTTGCAAATTGTACAACATAGTGTATAGTTAAAGTTTTTTTGCTGGCTTAGCATCTTTTTCCACACTGTTCAACACAGACACCATAAGCCTTAATCTAAACAAATAGTAATAGATACAGGAAGATTTAATTATTTATAATTATTGCTGTTTATCACAGTTCTTTAATTTTGTTTATAGTACAGTACAGTACAGTACAAAACAGTACAGTACAGTACAGTACAGTACAGTACTGTACAGCACAGCACAGCACAGCACAGCACAGCACAGCACAGCACAGCACAGCACAGATAATATTTGGATGCATAATATAATTTCAAAACCTTTATGTTCTTCTCAAAAGTTCTCCAGGAAGAGGAGGTATGATTAAAGTTATGAAAGATTTCAATCATACCAGCAATTAACTTTAGTTTGACATGCGAAATTGACCTTGATGAAGAAAATTCTACAAAATAATCTCAACTTTAAACCTTGCGTAATATTCAGCATGGCAGTTGTTGGAATTAATTGTTAGTTCTCTTGTCTAAAATGACAGATTGACTTGTTTGTTGTAAGAAGAGTCTTATAAAATCTTTAATAAAATAGTATTCAGCTTTTTTCTACATGCCTAACAATTCTTCATTGATAAATCATCGAAATAATTATTAATACTCAAAACAAATTAAACAAAACAAAAACATTTCATACTGAACGAAGTTAAAAACACAATTTTATTTTGAAGCCAATTTTCATCAAATAGTTCCTACGTCGTTTTTAAAATAAAGGTGAAAATGGTGCAAAATCATTTGTATTTCTCTCTTCATAAAGTTGGGCAAAGAAACTAAACTTGAAGAATTAAGAAAAAAATGAAGAATAAAGAAATCTATTTAAGGAAAAGTAAGATTCTGTTGTATTGGAACTCCCTGTATCAAAATAAAGACTATACACATCTGAACAATAGAAACAACAGTAAAACCACTCGTTTGGAAACCATAAATTCAGATAATTGAATCTAAAGGAAACTTGTTCCTTTTATTCTTTTCTTATAGCTTATGGTCTACACACTAGTATACAGTTTTCGGAAATGGGATTGGTAGAAAAGAAGTATGTAAAACTAGGATTTTAGGGCGCTTAGCGCCCATCTTATGTTTCAATTGTGAACCTCATTATAACATTGAAAAACAATTAGAAAAAAATTTTCACGGATTTTGTAAAAAAATTGCGAAGACTGTAACAATTTTTACAAAAATAAACATAATTTTTTATTATTATCATTTAAAAACCTTTGCTGGGGTCACGCGAACAGGGGGGTTTATAATACAGTGATAACCAGAAAACTGTGAAATAGAAAGACGACTTTTCAGCTCAAGCTAGGACTTTAAATAGTCCAATCAGCACGGAATTTAGCAATTGCGCAGTGTAAACAACCCCATTTCACTTAATTAGTGATAACATTTGTTTCAAATAAAGCTATTTGTTTGTAACACCATCAAATACACTAAAGTATTGTTATAAAGTCGTCTTCCTATTTCAGAGTTTTCTGCTTATCACTGTATATAACTAATTTAGCTCTAATTGTTACTGCTGAGAAATGTATGTACATTGAGCATTTGCACTATCAGATTAGTTTAATTAGCCATATTTAGATCAGCTACTTTATAGTTGCACTATCAGAGTAGTTTAATAATCCATATTTATATTAGCTACTTAATAGTTGCACTATCAGAGTAGTTTAATAATCCATATTTAGATCAGCTACTTTATAGTTGCACTATCAGAGTAGTTTAATAATCCATATTTAGATTAGCTACTTAATAGTTGCACTATCAGAGAAGTTTAATAATCCATATTTAGATTAGCTACTTAAAAGTTGCACTATCAGAGTAGTAAAATAATCCATACAAAGATAATATATATATATATATTATCTTTAGATCAGCTACTTTATAGAATTTACTTATATATTGCAATTATCACTGTCACAAGTTACAAATTCCTTAAAGACATTTTAAAAGTAAATCTAAGAACCTGTGATGACGACAATATTTCCACTGATTTATGATGAATTAAGCAATAACAATTATTCAATATTTGAAAGTAGACTTTTATTGAAATGATTTAATAGCAAAAATTCCGACATAGGAAGACGACTTTTAGACTCAAGCAATGATTTAAACAGTCCAATGAGCATGGGAAACAGAAAAAAATAGTGATTAAATAAGTGTCTAGTAAAACTTTTTGTTTAGCATTCAAGTATTGTTAGAAAGTCGTCTTCCTATTTCAGAGTTTTCTGGTTATAACTGCATTATCATAAAAGAGAAAAAATACATACAGGGTGTCCCACGAAACATGACAGTATGCAGGACGACTTGAATGTCGTCTTGATTTTTGATATAATTTGCTGCGTTTATTTGTCAACCTGATTTTAGAAGTAAATATTTAGAGATAATAATCCCAAAATTTCCCTTGTCCTGCCATTTCCAAAATGTGGTCTGCCATTTTTGTGCTTTCAATATTGCCCGAGATATGAAGAATTTCGTTCAGATTTCGACAATTTTGCTTTTATTTAACAAAATTGAAATCTGAACCAAACTCTTTATATCTCCGGTAATATTGAAAGCACAAAAAACGCAGACCACTTTTTGGAAATGCCAGGGCTAGGAGAATTATGTGATAATTGTTTCAAGAATCATACATGTTAAAGTAGATAGAAGACTAAATGTCACAAAGAAATTCAAATACCAAAGACGACTTTCAAGTCGTCTTGCTATTGTCATGTTTCGTGGGACACCCTGTATATAATCAGAAAACTAAATATAGGTTAATATAAAATTATCACAATTAAAGATGTAAAAACATACCTCCTGAGTTTGCCGGGGATTGTTTAGGTTTAGTTCTTGTGTTGCTTCCTTGTGGATTAGTGCTGGCAGCGGAGCTAGTTTTAAGGCTCATAGGGGCTGTCCGGGTTGGACCCTGAGAGGGTCGGGGTTTAGGTCCTCCTCCTCCACTAGATTGGCCAGATGAGGTTTTCAAAGCAGGGTTATTTTTCCTAGAAAAAAACTTTTCAATGAAATTAGAAAAAATATTCCAAAATGTATGAGATTAATCTTCAAGGGACTATACACGTAATTTCGCGTTGACCCTCTAATTATAGAGCTAGTGGTAAATGGTAATGACAATTGGTAACTTTAAACCTTCAGCTGAACAAGGTAAAACCGGTTATTAGGAGCAGCACTCACAAAACGTTTCCCCTCACAAAACCGATTATCAGGAGCACTTAAAAACGTTTCCTAATAAAGCGTAATTCCACCGCAAAAGTTTCGTCTCACAAGGTGTTTCTTACGCAAAATATTTCAGTTTCAAAACGCTTCCTGAGTGGTTTAATAATTATGAAATCCATTTTTAAAATACCAAACCACCCCGCTTATCATTGAAGTACACTTTGACCCCTAGAAGTATGAGTTCGCGGACTGTACAATTCTTTGTGATTTTGCGTACATAAGCTATCTAAGTTTATTTATTTATCTATGAGAATAGGGTGTTTCAAGTTCAAAAATAAGACGACTTTCACACACCTGGGATTGTTGTTGACAAACCCTTGAGCAGGTTCTTCTCCTTCTTTATCCCCGTCAGGAATCTCAATCTGAGCTTCGTCAAACGGTAATCTGAATTATTTACAATATAGTTTCTGTTAAAGATCCCAACCCTGGGAATGGGAATCTCATCTGACAGGGGAAAATGTGTTACCAATTTTTTTTGTATACGCTTTTTTAATTAGAATTTACATTTTGTTTCATTAAGTTGCGCCGCAGTCAAAATTAAAGGCCTAGTAGCACTCCTCTTTGCTGATTCCATCAACGCCTGATACAATCAGGGTTATTGTCTATTCTGAACCAATAGAATTAGTATGGCGGTAACATCTATCTTTCTATCTATCTCATTATCCAATCAGAGTTATGAATCCTTCAATCGGCGCTATCAGTAAATGGAAATATTTACTTCTACTGTGTTACCAATTTTTATTTTTGTGCCCCTAATTTTTCCTTGAGGAAAAATTTCAGCCAGAGGCGCAAGTAGGGGGGGATGCCGGGCGCGCCCTCCCCTAGCACCTGAGAGGGGGCCCCCCCTGCAGAATGAAAAGAAAGAAAGAAGGTTGAAAATCAGTATCACAGAAATAAGAAAACCAATAGAGAAATTTGTAGAAATTTTATTATACTATAGTTAGTTAAAAAAATATATTTTTATCTTTCTCAATTCTCAAGGCTAAAGGCTATTAAATTGTAAACATTTAATGTAAAAAAAAGTTCTGAACTGTATTTTATTTCTGTTGAGTTTATAGAGTACTCGTAGATATCAAACTTTTAATTCTTTTGGTAAAATATTCCAAGTTTGAAATATCAAATGTTTACACCACTCGGTGCAAAGATTTAGGGATTGGAATATTTTGAGTTTGTGGCAAAAACTCAGTTCCAAATCTAGAGAAAATTCTGAACCTGGCAAATTTCTAACTGATTATCATATTTGATAACTAACAAGATTTATCTTCTCTGACAGAAGTTCTATAAAATCGAAAATGAATTTAGATTATGAATGTTGGTTAGATCAATCATTAATTCAATAACTTCAAGAGAAAAGGCAACATTATCTGTCCTTTTTCAATGTAGATGATTGAATGTATTATTTACCTATGTATTTTTATGATTATTTATTAAACCAGGTAAATAAAAAATACTCTTTTGCTATTCGCATACATATTCAATGAGATGACTCATATCATTCATTTTACAGCTGTTGGAAGTATACATTTTGTAAAAACACATGAACAAAAAATTGATTTGAATTGAACACAGCCAAATCTGCATGCAGCAAATAAAAATTTCCTTTTTTCGACTTAAAAAAGGACTTTTGTTTTTGAAAATTTTTCGAATATCCCTACTGCAAAGTTTTATTGTGATACCCTGGATACCTTGTAGAATTGCAGGCTAGGAAAAGATACCCTGTAGGATTGCAGGCTAGGAAAATACCCTGGATACCCTGTAGGATTGCAGGCTAGGAAAAGCCCTGTAGGATTGCAGGCTAGGAAAAACTGAAATCTCAAAACTCAATCACAGAAGTCATAATCGGAAACAATCTAATCTTGTGCAATTGATATGATCTGGATACAATATCTTTAGCTAGGTTTGAAGTAATCACCTGCCGCCGTGACAGTACCCCAGCTTGCTGCAGTACGGTACACGGGATGCACAGTCAGCACTGGTTACACACTGACCAGCTTTCCCTTCGCCTGAACAAATTCTAACATTGATAAAGTCTTTAAAATTATTAAAATGTATATCTTTTAATTTAATAAATATGGTCGTAAAATTACAATGTACTTGAACCTGCCCTGTACTTCCTGAATTGGTTAATTAAAACTGCATGCAGTCTACCATTCTGCTCTGTACTGTATTTGCAACGGACTTTACAAATTTTACACTTATGAAAATTGTACCGTACTGTTCTTTCAAAATTTGGAAATATAATGTACTGTACTTTTAAAACTTTGAATGTACTGTACTGTGCTATACTGTACTGTTCTGCAACTGTACTGTAATTATGTACAGTATTAAACTACACTGTTCTGAGGTGTATTATGCTGTAAAATATTGAATCCTATGCTGTATGTTTAATTGCAGTGAAGAATATCAGTGCAGTGCAGTACAGTACTATTTCTACAGTGCAGTGCATTACAGTACATTACTATATCTAAAGAGCAGTATTGTACAGTATCATACTACGTATTACAGTTCAGTATCATACTACGTAGTACAGAACAGTATCATACTACGTAGTACAGTTCAGTATCATACTACATAGTTCAGTACAGTGTCATACTACGTAGTACAGTTCAGTATCATACTACGTAGTACAGTACAGTATCATACTACGTAGTACAGTACAGTATCATACTACGTAGTACAGTACAGTATCATACTACGTAGTACAGTACAGTATCATACTACGTAGTACAGTACAGTATCATACTACGTAGTACANGTCCCCTAATAATCATACACTGGTCCTTTGACAACAACCCCACATTCCCCTAATAATCATACACTGGTCCCTTGACAACAACCCTACATTCCCCTAATAATCATACACTGGTCCTTTGACAACAACCCAACAGTCCCCTAATAATCATACACTGGTCCTTTGACAACAACCCCACAATCCCCTAATAATCATACACTGGTCCCTTGACAACAACCCAACATTCCCCTAATAATCATACACTGGTCCCTTGACAACAACCCAACATTCCCCTAATAATCATACACTGGTCCTTTGAAAACAAACCAACATTCCCCTAATAATCATACACTGGTCCCTTGACAACAACCCAACATTCCCTTAATAATCATAAGGATGGGATGGGATCAAAAATCTAAAGGAAAATATAATATTATAGAACAAAATTAATCCAATGATATCTTATTTGATAAAGGAATTGAGTCTTTGCCACAAACTAAAATTTTCTAATCCCTACATCTTTGCAACCTATCCTTTAAACCTTTTATATTTCAAACAAAAGTTAATTGATCTAACAGAATATATAGTATGAAATATAAAAGGTCTACACCATCAATAGGTTGCAAAGGTATATTATATTGGAAAATCAGAATTTGTTGCAAAGATACAATTCGTTTCTTTACCTGTTACACAATCAGCAGTTGAAGTACATGCTCCTCCTCGTTTAACCCTCATATAAAAAAAACTTAAATACATTCAAAAAGGGTAAAAAAATGAAAAAAATATTTTTTTGTTTTAAACAAATATCAATGTGTGACACATATTTCTACATGCATATTTCAAGGGCTTTTCAAAAATAAAGTTTTTAGATCTGCAGCTTTAGTTACAAAAACGTTATAGGTTATTTTAGATTTTTTTCACAGACCGGACTTTTTTCCACCCTGTACCCTACCCTTTAAATTAAGAAAAATGTTATGGGCTATTTAAGATTTTTTTTCACACCCTACCCTATAAATTAAAAACAAATTTTAACAAAAAATCCTTTAAACTACAATTCATTAAAAGTCACAAAATTTCACGGTGATAGTGTCAAAAATGAGAGTGCTAGGACAAAAAACTACAGGGTGGCGCCAAACGCCCTCCCCCCGCCTGTTTACGGTTAAATATGACGATTCCAAGGTTGAATTAAGTTTTCTGACTTGAATACAGACATGGCTTATTTAAGAATTTGAAAAAGAACGAAACAATTGTTTAAAATTCTAGGAAACCATGAATTAATGAATTCCTTTGTGGAACCCAGCATTGTCGGAGAACTAAGCTTGCCATAAAAACGTTAACCCACTTAGCTTAGACCTTTTGAAGCAATCTAGAAAACATTCCCGTGGTTCTACCGGGTTTCCCAAATCTGAGGCAAATCGGTCCGAGGGTTCATTAATAGATACGAGATTACAAACAAAGAATATGAAAACTACAATAAACTCATAATATAATAACTATCTAAAGCCGGAATCGGGCCGTCGTCTGCCTCAAACAAAATCTGTTAAGCTTTCGTTTCACAGATTTACATTTTACGATACAAGCCCCCCACCCCCACACGGTCCCAGTCACTTTAACGACAACCTATAAATCAATGTATTTTAATATCTGAAGGTTGATTTTGAACTTAAATAAAGACTTTAAAAGTGGCATAAATAAATAATTTTAGAGAATAAATTTGTTTGTTCTGGACTCCTCAGAACCATAATTTTCTTTTCTTCGAAAATTACGTTTAACAAAAATCATTTTTATTTAAAATCAAAATACAAAACACTGGAAAACAAAGACGACATTTCAGCAATACTTGTATTTAATGTTGTTACAAAACAAATAGTTTTACTAGACACTTATTAAGTGAAATGGGTCTGTTTACACTGCACAATTGCTCTGTCTCTTGTTCATTGAACTTTGTACAGGCATAACTTGATCTTAAGAGTCGCCTTCATATTTCAGAGAAATCTGTGTATTTATTGTATACATACCGAATGAGTGATTGAAGAGTCTGAGTGTCCCGACTAAATCCAGCTTCAGGTTCTGGAAGCCCTGTACTTAAACTCAACCTGTACAATGTATACGATCCTTGTAATGTAACCCGGCCAGACAATGATCGACCAGAGGACGTACACAGTCGAGACCGTCCTCTGAGCAGATGCTGAACTCCAACCTTCGAGTGTGTGAGGTGGGGAAGACTTCACTACAGATTTTACTTTTGTATTGACCACTTTTTCAACAATTTTCATTTAAATTAGTATTTATTTAGGGTTAGGTTAGTTTAACACACTTTCTGGGCCAAGCGCTGCGGCTAGAACAAGGGGGCCGAGCGCTGCGGGCACGGTTTAGGTTAAGTTATGACACTTTCTGGGCCGAGCGCTGCGGCTAGGATTCAATCTCGATCTACAAAGGTCATCCACCCTTAATCATGCTTTTAATAAAGCGCGGGTGTGAAGTCTTTTCCACCTCGCACACTCGAAGGTTGGAGTTAAACGTCTGCCTGTCCTCTGTACCATTGTCTATCTATCAATAGCACGGAACTCGTCCATGCATGACAAGAAATGTATTCTGTATAGGACTCAAGATACTCAAAAATACCCTTTTTTAGCCAGCACCAATTGATTCCATACATTTTATATAAACATAATTTAATGCATAGTAACGGTACTTATTACAGTGATCACCAGAAAATTGCGGAATACGATGACGATTTTAAGACTCTAGTAATGATTCTAAATGGTCCTGTATGAAACAAAATTGTGCTGTTTACATGATTTTTCACTTCTGATAACGAATTTTAGGCTGCTGGTACAACTATTTGCTTTATACAACTTAAAAAAACATTTAATGTCGTCTTTATATTTCACAGTTTTCTAGTTCTCACTGGATTGAAATAATTAGTGTACACTGTATGAAGATGAACACTGCAAAATAAGTATAAAAATTCTGCAATTGTAAAATGCATTTTAAAAGAAATTGATTAAAATGATTCTTAAAATAATTGCTGGAAAAAAGATAACTTACCCTATAGTTAGGACAAATATTACAATCATGTCTCTAGATAACAAACTAATAATCTGAAATTGAGAAGTTAACATGTCTATATGTTTAATTGATCGAATTTGATTTCATAATTTGAAAGAAGTAGTGGAAATATAGGATAGTAAAACCACTGGTTTCAGTTGAGACGGGCTAATCAGTATCTGCACCAACGTCAGGTCTAGTATAAAGAGGTTTATGTTTTTAAGGTTTTAACTAAACCTATGAAAGGTTTAATTCATGTTGATGCAGATGTCGTTACTGAACATATCGAAGGTTTAATTCATGATTATGAGTTTTTAACTGAACCTATCCTTGGTTTAATTTACGTTTGTGAGGTTCTACCTGAACCTATCCTTGGTTTAATTTACGTATGTGAGGTTCTACCTGAACCTAGCAAAGGCTTAATTTAAGTTTTTTAGGTCTTTACTGAAACTATTAAAGATTTTAATGACGTTTACTGTTAACTGTTCTAATAGGATTATAGGACCTATCTCTTCCACTGTTAGGTTTAGTTTAACAAGTGTAAAGCTGTAACAAAAAACTCAGTAATGGGCGCACCCATCTCATTCAGATTCATCCTTCAGTATTTATCCATATATTATCATATTCAACTTAGAATTGAGGGTGGGAGGGGGGCGTTACCTTTGTCCTCAAAACTAAGAAGGGGGGGGAGGGGGAAGCACTGTACCTTTCTTTTTTCCTAATTTCTTCTATCTTCTTGTAAAACAAAGAACCCTCTCACACTGTAGCTTTCCCGCAAATGGTTTTACAAGCTTAAAGGGATCGAATGCAGTGCAAGTGACCCCCAATTAACGAGAGGCTTGCCCAATTCAAAACGGTAACCTGAAAACCATTATCTGAGAAATAATGAGGAAGATATCGTCGTTTTACTTCTTAAAACGTGCTGCAAATTATACCAGTCTCATTAATTATCTTTGACGCATAAATCTGCGAGACACTTACATTTAAAACAACGATATCTTTATATTTTCTTCAAACTAAGGTTTTCATCGTGAATCCGGCATACCCGGGTAACTTAAAATTGTCACTGAATTTACGCCCCTCTCTTTTAAAACTAGTTAAACCCAAGATCAAAAGCAAAATCAAAATTGAAATAATTTATTGATTCTTGATTAAATTGTTACATAATGATATTTATCACGCCGTCGATATTTAAAAATGTCAGGAATAAAAAATTGTTGTTTTAAGTTGATGATTTAACGCAACTAAGTCTTGATTTCAGTTTGCAGGTTTCAACTGTTTTAGTTGAACACTGCTTCACTTCCCTACAAATATTTCAGAAAATTAACGTAAATTTCCAAAAAAATAAGGAATAAAAATTTGGAATCAAGAAAAACTTTTAAATCGTCTTTTACCGCCGTTGACGATAATAGAAATAGGAAAAATGAAAAATACAATAAAGGAGAAATTCTATCAGAAATCCCAAAGCCAAAAACTGGAAAATTAGAAACTTTGCATTTTCTCTTTTGAAAAACATAATTGATAACAGGTCGAATTTACTTGTAACTGCATTTGGTTGTGCTAAAGGCTCCAAAAATGCTAAAATAAAAATTCAAGATTTAAGAACAGTTGAATGTTGAAAATGAAAATATTAACTTTTAGATCAGAAAATTTTATTTTGAAATTAAAAAGTCTAACCTGTATCTGATTACTTCACGAGGTATTTGTGTACATATCTCCTCTGGTACATGAATACACTCCTCTCTTCCAACCTGTACATGCATATATTGTATAAATATATATCTCATCTGGTACATGAATACACTCCTCTCTTCCATCCTGTACATTCATATATTGTATAAATATAAATCTCCTCTGGTACATGAATACACTCCTCTCTTCCAACCTGTACATGCATATATTGTATAAATATATATCTCCTCTGGTACATGAATACACTCCTCTCTTCCAACCTGTACATGCATATATTGTATAAATATATATCTCCTCTGGTACATTCGCACTCTTCTCTCTTCCAACCTGTACATGGCTATAAGTGTGTAACTTTCTAATCAGGTACATAAACACACTCCTCTCTTCCAACCTGTACAATAATATTTTGTGTACATATCTCCTCTGGTACATGAACACACTCCTCTCTTCCAACCTGTTCAAGGATATATTGTGTACATATCTTCTCTGGTATAAAAAACGGGTGCATCTAGCTATGCAAGTTAAATTTAGATTTTTTATTCAAATCTTTTTGAAAAACCTGTTTCTTGACATTGGTCAAAACTTTGTTGCATTTAAGAACTTGTTCCTCCCAGCACACTTCCTTCGGTACATCAGTGCAAACCAGTTTGGGTTCAGAGATTACAGTCTGTACATGCTGTACTGTACAGTTCTGTACAGTAGATGTACTGCACTCAGTTATGTTTTCAGGAACACATACCCTGTAAAGTAGAAGAGATATTTATAACCAACATGAAACGATAAGTGGAAAGTTTTTTAAATAGAACGCAAAATAGGAATGGTCAACGCTTTTTTCAATACAGGCAGATAAAAGAAACTATTTAGTCAATGCAGATAAACAGGAACAGTTTAGTAAACGCAGATTTAAAAAGGAATGGTTAAAATACGGAGAGAGAAAAAAGGGAAAGAGTTGAGCCAACTCTGATACAAAAGGAGTAGTCTAGTCAACTCAATTTAAAAGTAACGATTACACAATCACAGAAAGAAAGAAAGAAAAAAGAAAGAAAGAAACAAAAAAAGTAAGAAAGAAAGAAAGAAAGAAAGAAAGAAAGAAAGAAAGAAAGAAAGAAAGAAAGAAAAAGGAAATAAATAAAGAAAGAAAGAAAGAAAGAAAGAAAGAAAGAAAGAAAGAAAGAAAGAAAGAAAGAAAGAAAGAAAGAAAGAAAGAAAGAAAGAAAAAAGAAAGAAAGAAAGAAAGAAAGAAAGAAAGAAAGAAAGAAAGAAAGAAAGAAAGAAATAAAGTAAGAAATAAAGAAAGAAAGAGAGAGAGAATGAAAGAAAGAAAGTAAGAAAGAAAGAAAGAAAGAAAGAAAGAAGGAAAGAAAGAAAGAAGGTTAGCATCGAAATATAAAACTACCTTGGAATTTGCTGACAAACCTTATGTGGAACCTGTTGACACACTTTATCTGGTATCTAAAAAGTTGCAGATATGGGTAAACGCGAGTCTTACTCATTTTTAAGATACATTTCATTTTGGAAATGCATATTCCAAAAAAATGTCATAATAAAACATAGAAAAATCATTTTAAAAAACGTTTTAACCCTAATTCTCAGAGAGATGCTTCTATACCTGCGGGTTAACAGATTTCTTGACTTTCACAAACCGCTGTTTCCAAATGTCGTCTTCTAAAGAACGGAATTCATCAAAATTTGTTTTCGACAAAATGTAAAACTATTGCAGTTATAAAACAATTATGCGCAAGCCACTAAAAAACATCAATTCTCTCATTGTGTTTTCAAAAAGTATAAAGATGATTTTGAGATGATTAATCAACAAACAAGTTTGTTGATAAACATAATTATTCAGAAATAATTCAATTTTTCTTCAATTCAATAATTGGATTGGATTTTCATATTCAAAAAGTATCATTATTAGTCAGTAATACTGTATTATCGATGTGTGTTTTGTAAAAACTATCTTCATTGTTCTTACTGCAGAATGTAGACAGCTATGTATTTTTATAAAAGTATTAAATGGTTTAGAGTTAATTAAAAGAAAATCTTCTCCACAGCATAAACTTCTTACTTGTGTAGACTAGACTGTAACTACACATGGTTTTTATGCAAAAAAATGAAATATTGAAAAAAAAACTTTAAAAAATGTTCTTCACCTTTGGAGCAGGAATGGGTTGAAACATTGAACTGTGCAGTTTCCGCAGTTTCAAACTGAACCTTTCAAAATTAAAAGATGCATACTTTTGCTTTTTAAAGTCAATAAAACAGAAAACCTGTGCTAGGGCGGGCTGGGACATCGTCAAATTAGTATGTTTGTCTTGACATTCACCATGTTGTACCAGACAGATCTCCCTGAAAAATCAGAAAGTAAAATCGTAAAAAAATGTCGTAAAATATTTACCATGCATCGGTTTTTAAGAAAAGTGGTTTATGAAATGAAAAAAATAAACACATATTAAATAAAAAGAGAATTACATGAACAGAATTTTGAATAGAATTATAAATTATATTTTCTAAATGAGCTCTTGTAATTTTCTCGTTGCAAGTTAGAGGAATTCTAGTACCTGTAAACTTGGATACAGTTTTCTTGTACAACATTCCAGCATTCTTCAGAAACTTGTTCATAACAGGTTTTCTCCGGTGTCTTTGTACAGTTTACACTCGGTACAACCTGACAGAACTGGTTTCCGTACAACTGCTGGCAGTACACTGTTTCAATATCTGTACAGTGCTTCCGGGCATGATGTACACAATGCTCCCCGGGCACTGACCGACACAGCTGTTTAAGGATTGATGTACAGTGAGGTTCAAGCTGAAGTGTACATGTAGGTTCGTTACTTGTGCAAGTTGGCTGGTCGGTTGTACTATTTTCTTGATTTCTGTACAAACTAAATTTGGATCTTTCTAATGAGGCGTCATCAGTTGTGTTAACTTCTTTATTATTATCCTTCTTAGTGACTTCCTTATGATTATCCTTCGTAGTGACTTCTTTATGATTATCCTTCGTAGTGACTTCTTTATGATTATCCTTCGTAGTGACTTCTTTTGATTCGTCATCGAGAGAAAAATTGTCAGAAATGTTTGCAAATTTACTAGAATTTGGTCTGCATTCATCCTTTAATATCGTCGTACAAACCAGTTCAGATTCATTCTCACATTGTGTAGCTGGCAGCGTACTGCAGTGCTGAATCGGTACAGTTGTACAAGTCTTAACAGGTTGTACGGGTACAGTTGTACAAGTCTTAACAGGTTGTACGTCAACCTTTTTAACATTTACTGTTGTACATTCCTGGTTCGGTTTAATTTCGCATTTCTTGTCTGGAATATTCTCACATACTTCAGTCGGAACTTTTTCTTCTTTAGTTTCATAAACAATTTGACAAGATTTTTTATATTCTGTACTGCATAGGCGATCATGTACAACAAAAGTAACTGGCTTGTGAATAGTTGTACAGGTTTGCTCCGGTCCCTCTCTACAATTCTCTCTGGTCCACAGTACTGTACATACAGAGGTCGTCTTCTCTGTGCTGGTCAATGCTAGAGCTACGGGACAAAGGAGGAAAAATATGGAGTACGTCATTCTAATCTGGAAGAATAGATGGATAATTAATTTCACATATAAAGCAGAAATTGTCTGTGTGTACATATTAAACTAATAGTTGGCCAAACCATAATAATAAGAGAACCAAAAATACATTATCCCCCCTAGGTAACATAGTTTATAAACATTTTGTCTAGAGTTAATGGACTAGGTTTTTGATTAAGAATCAAACACATGTCTGAAAGTGTCCAAGTAAAAAATTTATTCATTTCCTTTAAAATTATTATACCCGCAAAAAAAATATTATACTCGTAAAATAATGTCATCAGAAATGAGCATGGAAGGAAATTTTTTAAATTTTCTCAATTTGAAGTATGCTTATGGCAAAAAATATTTAACCCTATCACCCCCCCCCCCTGTGCTTTCTTATGAATAACTTGAAAACGGCTTACATTAGAACGCTAAAACTTCTTTACTTTTTCAACATAATAGTTGAAAACTAAGTGTGGAAACAAATTTTTTTGATGCATAGGGCAGGGTAAAGAACGGTTAAACGGAGCGGCGGGTTGGTGTTCCAAAAAAATCTGAAATACTTAATGACTTTTTTATTAATTAAGGTACAGAGCAAGATATGTATATTTGAAGAGCCCTTGAAAAATGGATCTAATAACATGTGTCATATGTTAATATTAGTTGAAAGTAAAAAAAACTATTTTTTAAAAGTTTTTCGACGTTATTTTTGACCTTTTTAAAATCCTCCCTTACACCCTAACCATTAAAGTTACAGGTCTATTTTTTTAACTCTAAGGGCAAAATCACATAAGACAAAAATAGCCCAATCGGGATAAGGTTAAGGAATCCGAATTTGCAATAACAGAAATGAAATCAAAGATTTTTCACCTGCATCGATATTTTATTAAAAACATATCTACCTCCAACAGGGCAAAAAATCAATATTTTAAAATATTATCAGATGGAAACCCAAAAGAAGGTGTTAGTAGTGTTAAGTGACCTTTAACTTTAGGGTGTGCCCGATTGACAACGGTACTCTTTAAAACCATGTCTGATCAATAATATGGACGATGTCGTAGTGTTTCTAGCTTTAAAAGTGTTTTATTCTGATAATGTTCACCGCGGCCGCAAGACCCGGGAGAAGGCAGTTGGCCATAATCCACAATATTTCCTCTTTCCATGCAACATTTTAGCTTTTTTGTCTTCTGGCAGCCATAAGCCACAACCAAAAAAGCTAATATGTGGCATGGAAGAGAAAACTTTTGTGGCTTATGGCTGCCTGACTTCCCCCGCTCCTGCAAGCCACCAGTAAACAGAGAAAATTTTATTAAATTTCTTGATTTTTCATCTAGAAATGAGAGATATTTCATGACCTCCTGTTCATATAAAGCTTTAAAGGACACCGTTTTAAATCGGACTTGACACTTACAATGGAGAGTCACTTGAAATTAACGTATATGTCCAGTGTGTATGTACAGTCCCTTTAAAAAATGATTCCACAATTAAGAAGATAAAGAATTGAGAGTTTATACAGGTTATTCCATGAAATGTTAAAAATTTGTAAAATTGATTTAATTTAGTGTCGTCCGTCATCAAAAATGATAACAAGACAAAAAATCAACTTATTTAGAAAAATATTTATCAAATCAAATAAAGTGTATAATTCAATGACAAACTTATTATGTAAAAGTAAAATTATGAGTTTTTAATTTGCTTCACATAATGATCAAATAGTTCTTGATTTATTGTGTTTTTCACAATTCTTTTAAAAAACTCCTTCACCGTTTATTATCTTAAGTACAGTACACTAGTGTACACGTGTACAACTGTACCGCGTACTGCAAATGTCTTCAATGAATGCAGAATAATACAACCAAGAAAAATAAACCAGGAATATTTTTGTTTAGAAAAAAGAACCTGTCAAATCATTCGTTGGGATGTTTAGAAAGATGAAAATTTCCCTGTATGATAATTGAAGGACTACAGTATGGTTTTGGTGAATTATATTGGCGTACAAAGCCTAGGGGTGTCAGAAATGATTTTTTTTGCATATTTTTAAAAACTTCTATAAAACTTTTTAAGTTTAATTTTTGATAAAACTTTTTGTTCTGGATGATTGAAAATATCTATCTAAAACTTTCACCATACTGCAGTCCTTCAATTATCATACAGGGAAATTTTCATCTTTCTAAACATCCCAACGAATGATTTGACAGGTTCTTTGATGAGAAAGGGTGCAGCAGCTGAGCGCTTTGTCTATTGAATGTTTAATATGAGAATTTTCTAAACGTTCTCAATTATGTCCGTTTTAAGGGGGTGTTCAAAAAAATAAAAGAGTACATTGAACCATTTAAAGGGAGTGACATGCTTGACATGGTAGTTGAGCTGAAAGTGCGGTATTGAAGAGGTGACATTAGGATTCATTTGATATCAAGACATTTTGTAATATTTCACCAGTTGTTTCAGTTAGCAGTTAACATTTATCAACCCGGGCAAAACATGTAAAAATATTTAGACTAATTTGCTGTTTAGGAAATATTTCTTAAAAGAAATCATGGATGAAAGCATAGTACAACCATAGAATTGATTTTTTCATTATCACTTATCTGTTTCTAAAATTGTATTCGCAGATGTCTTCAAAATGTCGTCTTCACAATTAAAATAAAGAAACCTCTAACAAGCGGGCCTAGCTGAAAGAATTTGCATAAACCTGGGAGATTTCAAAATTAATTTTAATAGTTTATTTTCATGTTTTTTTAAGAATTGAAAAAAACGTTTCATCTGCTTATACAAAAACAACTGGTGAATAATTACAAACGACTTTACGCTTTTATTTAAAAATTTTACACCATAAAAATGTCTCATTGCTATCAAATGAATCCTAAAGTTGTTTGCACTATCAGCTAAACTACCAAATCTAACAAGTATCTCCCTTTAGATCGGTTGGAATTATACTAACTAATGCTTTTTATGTCATTTTGGAAAGCCTGTTATCCGATTCGTTAAACATTGTCTAGCTGTACTGTAGCCCCGTTTTTCAGTTGTAATAGATTTTTTTCAGACCATCATATTTAATGATTTTTGGTTTTTGGTTGGCGACAGGAATTTTACTCGAGACATTTCGACATTTTGTACACTTTTCATGGACATTTTGACATGGATATGAAATGACATTTGGACATTTTGTAATGAGATTTTTTCATTGTCCAACATTCTAGCCAAAAAATGTCTCAATTAGGAAATATAGATTTCTTATCAATTATAAAAGTGCAAATCCAGAATAGCTATTCATTTATTGAAATCCGGAAAAAAATAAGATTTCTCGAAAAGTTTTTTTTTCTTCTAATTTCTATATCTCTGCAATCTGATTGTCTGAGGCAAATAAGTCGAAGCTAAATCACAACTAGAAAATGTCTAACGAATTAAGTATATTGGTTTTTAAATCATTTTCAGTTTTTTTTCTGGTTACTAATGTAACATCTAAAGATTAAAGACGACATCCTGTAACTTTTCCTCAAATTATCAAATTTAAGTGTACATGCATACACATTGTCCCTTCCTTTACCATTTGCAAATACTACAGGGTGTCACAATAAAATTGGAAATTAAGTGACGACTTTTATATCGTCTTCGATCCATGCGGCATTTTTTCTTGAAGACAATTATTGCAGTATAATTCCAGTTTACACATCTAATATCGAAAACACCTGGTCTTGAGATTTTCAAAATGTGGTCTAACATTTTTCTATCTTCAAATTTGATGAAGATATGTCATATTTTGTACATATTTCAATTTATTGAGAAAAAAAAATTTGTCTAAATATCTATAATATGTTCTTCGATTTGTAAGACACAAGAAAGGTGTAGATCACTGTATGAAAAGACGTACAGCCTCGTTTTTTTTACTTTCTTTGCAATGCATTAAATATCAGAAATCAAAGACGACCTTCATGTCGTCTCTAAATTTCCATGTTTATTGGGACACACAGCTTTTGTTAATATCCAAAATCATTTAAACTACAGTCTTTTGGTCTTTTAAACCATCACGATACTTCTTTATCTTTCATTTAATTATAGAGCTTTTTTCTGTCCTTCGACGCCCCCCTTCCTCCGCCCCCCCCCCCCTGGGGCCCCCGTCTAGATATTAAAGCATATGGCTTGATAATACAAAGGTCAAATTACAAAAGGATGAAGGAGGTTCAGACAACAATATTATTCTTATAAACATTTATCACATTATTTTCCATTGCACGAGGTAGGGATGGGGATTGTGTTTAAAGCAACATAAAAGCAAGAAATATTTGTTCTAAATTGGTTCAGAAGAAAATTATGTTTTTCGGTGAAAACAAAAATCATTAGAACTAATCGGCGTTGCCTATGCTCATTAGTTTTCATTTTGTGCGGGTTTCCAGGTTTTCTACAGCTTAAAGCAGTTTAACCTGCCTTTCGGTCATCAATTTATGCAGTTGGTTTTGGCCGTGCCTTTCATTCTACATGTGTGTGCAGTTGGGCGTGCTTTTCATTCTTAATTGTGTGGCTTTCAGTGTTCAGTTTGAGCGGTTCCCCGTGCTTTTCAGTGTTTAGTTTCTGCGGTTTTTGTTCTTTCAGTGTTTAGTTTTTATGGTTTTTGTGTGCCTTTCAGTGTATATTTTGTGCTGTTCCCTGTGCCTTCCAGTGCACATTTTGTGCGGTTTTTGCATCTTTTAGTGTACATTTTGTGCGGTTCTCGTGTCTTTTGATGTTTAGTTTGTGCGGTTCCCTGTGCCTTTCAGTGTACATTTTGTGCAATTCTGGTGTCTTTTATTATACATTTTGTTCGGTTCTCGTGTCTTTCAGTGTTTAGTTTGTGCGGTTCCCTGTACCTTTCAGTGTTCAATTTGTGCAGTTCCCGTTTCTTTCAGTGTTCAGTTTGTGCGGTTGCCCGTGCCTTTTAGCGTTCAGTTTGTGCAGTTTCTGTGAATACATCAGTCTTCGTGTGCGGTTTTTGTGTTCATATAGAACATATACAAGATTGAAAAATTTTATAATGTCGTCTCTGAACTCTGAAGTCTATATATGCTGTGGCTAATCCTATACATAAGATAAGAACAACATTGATTAACGCTAAATAGCCGCAAGTTATGCCACGTAAATTGCAAAATTAAATCAAGTTTTAAACCTTAACTTATATTAAATGGGGTGAAATAAGTTAACCTTTACTTAAAAGTTCAATGTCAGCAGCATTTAAAACAATAGGGCGTGAAACTTTGACGGTCAATGTTACCTCAAAAAGATATACAAATAACAAAGATATGAAAAAGAATATTTTCTAGGGAGTAAGCCAAGAATAATTTTTACAAGAAGCCACGTTTAGTGGTCAAAAGGGTTCCTAAGTGACCTTTATCTAGTTTATCAAATGGTTCCAGGGGGCTATTTAGATAATGTTAAACTGGTGTCCGGTGTGTCTGCTTGTTTGAGGGGTCCTGTGTCCAATATGTCCGCTTGTTTAGATGGCCCTATGTCCAGTCTGCCCCCCCCCCCCCCACGGAGTGTTGATTCCCGGGGTTTAAACTTTAGTAGACAGTAGTGTGTAAGCTCTGTGCCGGACAACCGTCCACTACTAGAGTCCGAACTAAACTTATATTATTTCAGGTACACACACACATATCATTTAGTGCATTGGCAAAAGAAACACATATTTTTTTACCAATCCAAAGGAATTGAGCCTTTGCAACAAACTCAAATGTTCCAATCCCTTTATCTTAGCCACCTGATGTAGACCTTTAATGTTTCAAACTTAGATTATTTGATCTGACAGAATAAATAGTTTGAAATATCTAAGGTCTCTGACATTGGGTTGCAGAGATATAGGGATTAGAAAATCAGAGTTTGTGGTAAAGACTCAATTCCTTTGCTTGGGAATTTATCAAAGAGTGAAATTTTTCAAAAAAAAATGTATATCAAGTTTCCCAAAGCTAACATTTAAAAGTCATTTTAAAATTCTAAACTAACAAGTTCTGAAAAAGTCAAGGAGCGGTGCATAAAGAAAAAAAACGGATTATATCATTGTTTTAAATGTTACTGAAGAAGTTGTAAAAGTAGAAGTGATATTTGATTAGGGAAAGGAACTGATTTCCCGCCTCAAACTTTAATTTTCTAATAGATATATCGTTGATCGTGTAACTTTGATATTTCCAACATTGACTATTTTATCTGAGCAAATTCATAGTTTGAAATATCAAAGGACTAAAATAAAACATGAGATTTCAAAGATTTAAGGATTAAAAAAATTAGTTTGTGAAATTTTCAGAATATTTGATTTAATACCTTGAATTTACAGGGGCGCGGATACAGGATTTAAGGAAGGGGGTGCTAGATGTATTTCGGAACAAAAAATCCAGATTTAGGAACAAAAAGACGCACCACAGGAGAAATTTTTTTTTCTGTTTTGCACTAGGCTTTCTTTCCCTTAAGTGCTATTGAGAAGCTATTCTGAAATCTCAGGGGGGGGGTGCAACGGTCCTGCTGCCTCCCCCCCTGCATCTGCCCCTGTGAATTTAATATGAAGTGTTTTTTTTAAATTTTTTTAAATATAAAACAATTATCAAATTCATGAATAGAGGGAAAAGCTCATGTAATCATTCAAAATATTTAAAGTGCTGTACAAAATCCTTAATTTGAGATATGATGACATCATTGTTTTTATTTCTTGATTTTGAAAATTTGAACCAAGCTCTTGCTCGGGGGGATCCAATCCTGGATTTTAACAAATATTTAAGAAAAAAATTCTCCATTTTTGTTTATTCAATAGTTTGTCTAGGATTACAGTTACTGTCAATAAAATCAGTAAAATTAATTCATGTAAATATCAAAATTCTTCCAAGTTTAATCTTTTACTTTCTTTACATTTTTTAATGTAATCTTTTCAAAAATTAATTGTTTCTCAATCTCTTTGTATTGAATAGTTTCTTTGCAAATTCAAAAGAAAAATTGGCAACATTTTTATGTCAAGCTTGATTGATTTCACTGTATCTTTGTAAAATCCGCAAAGAAGATTTGTACAGCAAAATAGACAAAAATATGCATTATAATAGAACGGCACATTCGATATAAAAAAAGTGAAAATACAACTAATAATAATACTAATAGCAAAAAACAACAAAAACTGAACTTTAAAATGACACAGGATGAAACAATATTTTAAGATATATCATATATAATATTAGATTAAAATAGTGTTTTCACAAAAAATGCATAATCGATATTCTTGGGGAAGGGGTTATAAGCGACCAACTTCTTCAAATATAACCTCTGTATGTTTTCATACTCCAGGAGTAACTTCAAGCATAACTATTGTATATTTTCGTACTCCGGGATTCAAATAAAACCTCTGTATGTTTTCATACTCCAGGAGTAACTACGAACATAACCTGAGTTAACCTCTGCAACTAAAACATAATGTGTTAATTTCTTTTATAAAAACTTTTGAATATCCAAAACTTGTGTCATTAATTTGATATCTAACTTCAAATATTTCCCTTTGTAATCTGTAAATAAATATAGTCTATGATCTTGAAGTCAGAGCTGTTGAGTTATGAATCTTGGGATCAACCATAGATCTCCACCCTATGCAGATCTACGGATTAATTCAACTCCGATAATCGATATTCTGTGGATCAAGCATTGATCTTCAAATTTAAAAGTGCCCACATTGAATATCGAGATGAATCGCTCAAGTTCTGTAAAAGTTTGAATATGTTTAATTAACCATGTACATTTTGTTACAGGAGTAAGGAGGGAGTAAACAAGCGATAAAAGGATGAAATAATTCAACATCAATCAAGTTAAAAAGTAGTTTACTTCGTTAGTGGATCCAGTGATTTCATTTTTAAAACAATTCCATGTTTCTAATGTTTGAAAAGGAGTAGATACTAGATATGCATCCAATGAACGAGGTTTAAAGTGATAAACTGTGCACTGAAGTTGAGCAAGTAAATATAAAATGGATCCAGTTGGACTAATTCTTCTTCAGATATTTGGAGCAGCTTTTATTATTGGAGGTAAGAGTGACGGCCATTATAGATCACTGGACTATCCATGGAGAGATCGGTCACTTCCTTTTTATTTCAATTGCATTTTTTTTTTTCTATAAACTCAGCTATTTAAAAACTTGTATACACAGTTGTCTTTTCACACTTTTTTTATAACGCACCCGCCGATAAAACGCACCCGCCGATAAAACGCATGAAAAAAGTCTTTGCCACAAACTCTAATTTTCTAATCCTTATATTTTTGCAACCCAATGTCGTAGACCTTGCATTTTACACTGTATTTTGATATATTGCATTTATTTCTTCTTTTTTCTGAATATATTTATTTTAATACATAGACACATATATGGATGGAACCATTTTTTAAAGTAAAAGTGTGTGTAAATGTAAAGTAGAGAAGTTATAAAGTCGGAAAGTCGTATCAGTAATACCTTTATTAGTATGGAATGGGGATTAACTATTACAGGTCCCTGAATGAACTTAAGATGGTTTCATGTCTTCATTGAATTTTACATAAAAAATATAATCACAATTCTTTTTAAAATTCGACATAACATTTCTGATTAAAATTGAAGTAAAATTTACATAAGCGTGTTCTATCTTTCCTTTCGATTTATGATATACATGGCACACAATCTGATTTATAATATACATGGCACACAATCTGATTTATAATATACATGGCACACAATCTGATTTATAATATACATTGCACACAATCTGATTTATAATATACATGGCACACAATCTGATTTATGATATACATGGCACAAATCTGATTTATAATATACATGACACACAATATGATTTATAATATACATGGCACACAATCTGATTTATAATATACATGACACACAATCTGATTTATAATATACATGACTCTCCCTCCTGTTAAAACTAGATACAATGTCGCATTAAGAAAACAAATTAAAATTCCATGGGAAATTGTTAGAAAACTTTTACATGGTTCGATTTATTTTGGTTTCAATAACATGTCAAATAAAATCCCCAGGGCCTGAAACTTAAGACAATTTAAGTGTATGAAACTGGGTTTCGCCGGAGCCTGATTCTTAAGACAGCGAAACTCTATGACACTGGATGTCCCCAAAAGCTGATCGACTCTTTAGTTCAAATCTATAAAACTGATAAGGCATGAAACTTAAAATAGTTTCAATTCTACGAAACTAAGTATCCCCAGAGCCTGAAACATAAGACAGTACAAATCTATAAAACTGGGTATCGACAGAGCCAGAAACTTAATACAACTCAAATCTATAAAACTTGGAGCCTTAGACTTGAATTATTTCAAATCTATAAAACCGGGTATTGCTAGGGCAGGGATCCTGAAACTTAAGGTAGTACATATCTATAAACTTGGTATACCAAAGAGACTGAAACCCAAATTAGTTCGAATCAATAAAAAAACCAGAAACAATAGTTATAATCTAAAAAAAATTGCATCGGATATATATCAAACTTGGTTAGACGAAAAAAAGGTATTATTTTGAATTGAATGATTGATCCTAGATATACCTTAATAGATTTCTTATCTTTAGCGAACTGTGGATGCAGTTTTAGCGGTTCCAGTCAAACCTTTATTTGACAGACAACTCTAGGTTCTATTATCTATATAATGTAAGATGTAAAATAGAATTAATTCCGGACAGGCGTCGTTTCATCCTTTGGAAGTATGCCTGTTGAAGATAAGATCGTAAAAATAGGTCTTAATTCTTATTTTGGAAAGCTACTTAATTCTTATTTTGTTTTCAATACAAATGTTCCTTCCTATATCATTGAATGTCTTCTTTCTTTTATTTCCATTCTCTTGTAAAATGAGAAATGCGGGTAATTAATTCCTGTTGTGGGAATTGTGTACACAATAGGTTATCCAAACCATAACAAACCATACCAAATACCACCATATGTATCATTAGAAAAAATTATAGGACATTACACACACTTGTTTATATATTTAGCACAATTAACTGGCCGTAGGTTCATTATTCTTAGAAATTTCGTTTAAAATATTTTCCATTAAATCAAATAGTTTTAAGCTTTTTTTCAAAATCTTTAAATGTTCTTATTAAATTTTTTTCTTAATTTATGATTTCGAAGACCAAAAATTGTAGAAATAATGATTTTTAAATCCTAAATCCTAAAAAAAAATTAATGTCCTGAAATTCAAGCTAATTAAAGAAATAAATGTGGCTTACAGTTCTATCTATACCTAATTTCTTATGTTTTTTTATGACTACATGTGCTTTAAGAAATTTTAAGAATTAACATGAATGTTAACAATAATAAATTACTTTTAATCTAATTACTTTTTAAATATAACTGTTTAATAAATATGTGATGTACTGGTTGGCTGCATATTAGAAACAGGAACTCTCAATAAACATCATATTTAGAGATCAATTATAAATCTTGTCTATTTTTCAACAAGTATTTAAATGCTTTATTCATCTAAGTATTGTAAAAATTTGAGCCATTAAACTGTGGGTGAATTTTGACATTAATGTTGTTATTATGGTTTTGCCCAGGGTTTAACAGCAAATATCTAGATATATAATAAAACAAGACATTTGTATATATATATATATGTTGCCTATAGCCGGCCAAACGGCTGGATTAAATTTTTTTGTGGACACTCAGGGGTGGCCGGGGAGTGTTATAGGTTATAAAAAATTCGAAATTTTTTAAAAACATTTTTTTAACATTTTTTTTCACGGGCAACGCCAGGCCCTTTGGCTAGTAATATTTAAATCTGTCAATTTTGCAAAAAAAAATTATAAGAAATAATCTAAATGTCTGTTTATTTTGACAACCCCTGTAACTGAATATAAATATGTTAGCTGCTCAAATTAACGCTCGACTGAACTATTTAATAATAAGAAGTAGAGAAGGATAAATCAACTGGGAAATAAATGGATAAAATTACACGCTTCAAAATGCAAAGTTTTATTTGAAATATTTGCAAACATCATAAAATATTATTGCTTTGCACTTTTGCTTTATTATTATTCTCTCTTTAGTAATTTTAAACAATTGACTAAAAACAAATGACTAAATCTTTTTCCTTCTCCATTTACGATGTACAAGCGGGTTGCCTTTTAAAATAAAATCTATTATAATGTTTGTATTTAATAAACGTCAAAACGCCCGAATCAATAGAACTTCTGTTTTTATTATTCTAGAATGTTGTTTTTATTATTCTAGAATGTTGTTTAATTATTCTAGAATGTTGTTTAGAATGTTGTTTTTATTATTCTAGAATGTTGTTTAATTATTCTAGAATGCTGTTTTTATTATTCTAGAATGTTGTTTAATTATTCTAGAATGCTGTTTTTATTATTCTAGAATGTTGTTTTCATTACTCTAGAATGTTGTTTTTATTATTCTAGAATGTTGTTTTATTATTCTAGAATGTTGATTTTATTATTCTAGAAAGTTGTTTTATTATTCTAGAATGTTGTTTTTATTATTCTAGAATGCTGTTTCTGTTATTCTAGAATGCTGTTTAATTATTCTAGAATATTGTTTTTATAATTCTAGAATGTTGTTTTTATTATTCTAGAATGAAAAAAAGAAAGAGTTTTGAGAGAAATGTATGTTGCTGTAAACCTATGAATTCAATATTTTCTGAGATCTATATATTTTCATATATTCTTTCTTTCTTGCTCAGTCTTCACGGTAAATATAACAAATATAGATTAAAAGGACCTTTGACTGACCCTTGCAGATGGATAGATAGATAGATAGATATATAGATAGATATATAGATAGATAGATAGATAGATAGATAGATAGATAGATAAATAGATAGATAGAAAGATAGAGTACAGGGTATGTATTTCGCCTTGAAACATTGAGATTAACGTTGCATGGAACAACATCGTAAAGATGTTTCTATGTATAGACAGTGTCCGACATTCCAGGAACAACTAGCACTAAGGAAGGAAGGAATGGGTCGGTTGGATTGGGGGGGATTGGGGGAAGTAACACCCCCCCCCCCATCTTCTCTTCCGGGCTTTACCTCTAGCTCCATAAACAAATACATTTATTGCTCTTGTAAATATTGATTTTACATAGCACACAAAATCAATTTAAAGGAATACTAGTGTTGCCCAGGGTATTCAGGGTTACTCCCCAACTCCCGCCGTTTACCTGCTCTAGGTCTCCCGAGATCACCAATATAAATTTGTGGCAAATCGGTCAAGGGGTTCTTGAGTTTTGATCGGACACACACACGACAGACAAACAGAGATTAAAACTCCATATATATATATATATATAGAGGAGCAATAAAATTCGATTCCTTTTATTATAAACAATTTTATTATTTAATATTTTATTAATTATTTTCAAGAGATTTAATAAATAAAGAACTCCTATTGTGATTTAATAAATAAAGAACTCCTATTGTGATTTAATAAATAAAGAACTCCTATTGTGATTTTTTTTAAAAGTTTAAATTTAGAATTGCTGTTCTCGTCATGTTTAGTAAAACTAGGCTTTTAAGGCGCTTCGCGCCCATCTTCTACTTAAATTGTAAACATGTTCTTTTTGTTTACATTTTAAAACAAAGAAGAACAAATTTAGCGTATTTTAAAAAACATTTACGGATTTTCAAGAATTTAAATTTATTTACAAAATAAAAACCTTTAAAACACATTTTTTAAATTTTTATCATTCATAAACCTTCCCTGTGGTCACGTGATGTCCCACAAAAATTTGGGCCCGATCGGTTCAGCCGTTTTGACATTTAAAACAAGCAGACAGACACCCAAACAGACAGACAAGCCAAATTTATATATAGATGTTGGTTATAGTTTTTACTATCGACTTTTACCCAAAAACCCAGTCTTTCAATTTGTGCCCATTTCTGACACAGTGTTAGAAATGAGCCTAGTGTTTGTTTTGGAACTTATGTCCCCTGAAATATAATGTTTCATTATTTTGTTTTTACATAGAACAATCTAGAACCTAAATGTACGCTATACAGAATA